TATTTCCCGAACTATATGATTTTTTTATAGTTTCTCACCGCCGTGTTAGAGTTCGAAAGTAACCCTACACGATGCATAAATTTGCAACCCCGTAGCACTTCTGAAAATGCTCAAAAGTGTTCTTTAGAAAGTAGCATTTTTATTAAAGTATGTAAGTATGGTGAAGAAAACACCCTGTATCTCGTAAGGGAATTGACATTTCTAAAGTTTGTCACCGCCATATTAACGCCCGAAAGTTCCTCACCACGATGCATATATGTTTTAGCCCTTTTAAAAGTGCCCTAAAACTTTCTATAAAAATTGACATTTTCGAAAAAATTATAAGCATGTTGCGCAAAACACCCTGTATCTCGCGAACTAATTGAAATTTTTAAAGTTTGTCACGGCAATTTTAAAGTTCGAAAGTCTCCATACACAATGTATTCCTTTTCAATTTGCTAACCCTTCCGGAAATGCCCTAAAATGCCCTTTAAAAATTGTACTTTTTCAAAGAAATTGGAAACATGGTGTGCAAAACACTCTGTGTCTCATGAACTGATTGACTTAATTAAAATTTTTCAACGTCGTATTAAAGTTCAAGAGTTCCTCTACACGATGCATGCCTTTCCAATCTTCCAGCCCTTTTGGAAATGCCCTAAAATGCCATTTAAAAATTGTAATTTAAACAGAAAATTGGAAACATGGTGTGCAAAACACTCTGTATCTCATGAACTAATTAACTTTTTTGAAGTTTTTTACCGCCAAATTAAAGCTCAAGAGTTTCCCTACACGATGCATACCCTTTCGATCTTTGAGCCCTTTCGGAAGTGCCCTAAAATGCCCTATTAAAATTGTCATTTTAGAAAAAGTAGAAAACATGCTGTGCAAAACACTCTGTATCTCATGAACTAATTGACTTTTTCAGATTTTTTTACCCTCGTATTAAACTTCAAGAGTTCCTCTATACGATGCATACCTGTTCAATCTACCAGCCCTTCTGGGAGTACCCTAAAACGCCTTTTGAAAATGGGCATTTTTCAAAAAAATTGAAAACATGGTGTGAAAAACACCCTGTATCTTGAGAACTATTAGACTTTTTGGAAGTTTTTTACCGCCATCTTAAAGATCGAAAGTGTGTCTACGCGATCCATATCTTTTCCACCCGCTAACCCTTCCAAAAGTGCCCTAAAAAACACTTAGAAAATAGCCATTTTTGGCCCAAAAATTTCAAATTTTGGTCGAATAACAGGGTCGAACTTTTTTATTAAAATTTTTTTCGGTCGAAGAACAGGGTCGAATTTTTTTCTTAATTTTTTTGGTCAAAGAACAAGGTCGAATTTTTTTCGTCGGATAACAGGGTTGAACTTTTTTCTTCAATTTTTTTTCCTTGAACAACAGTGTGGAACTTTTTTCTTAAAATTTTCCCGCCGTAACATTAAATTAAAAAGTTGAAATTTTGAATTCCTGAACGATAAAACAGTATTTTTTTGTATTTAATAAAAGTTATTAATTATTGACAAAATTGGCGGAGGCGCCTGACATTTAAAAGAGTTGTTTAATTAAATATTGAGAACTACCTCATTGTATAGAGGGGCTCTTAATGATATAATTTAAACAACTTTTCACCTAATAGCAGTAAGGAATTTTCCAGTAAATCTCATTGTGAAATGTGCACTCCCATCGAGACTTAAGAATCAATTATCTCAGGAACTAAAAGACATAAACAAAAACCAAAAACACCCCGAGGTTCAGCATCATATCCTAGATAAGATAACATTTAAAAAATTTCAAATATAACATGTGCCTAAAAAAATTTCCTCTGCGATTTTCTCGGAAAATAATAAAGATAGTAAAGAACTTTCTTCATTTTGTTCATGCCGTGATATGAACCTATAAAATGGCAGATTTAGTTTTTCCATTTTCCAATGTTTACAAAAACTCCTCAAAAAGAGTCAAGAGGTTACACTTGACTCTTTTTGGACCCAAAAAAAAATTTTTAAGCTGGAAGAAAATGGAAAACGCTAATCGATTGAATTTTCCAAGGGGATGAAAGATATCAAGTCAGTTTTTCGATAACATCAATATTTTGGAAAATGAGAAGAAAATTCAAAACTTATCAGTACAAGCACTACTCCGATTTTTCTCAAACTTTCCACATTGATGTAAAACAATGCCAGGAATACAATAATCCAGGTTTGGTTGCCCTATCTTAATTAGTTTTCAAGTTATTAACCATTTTTAATTATTACATAAGTGTTGACAAGTGAAAATTTTAACTTGTAGTATAATATGAAATTTAATTCTATTTACGAATATGAAAACCGTTTTTCCCTATCTATAATGGTTTTCAAGATAAATGCGAAAAACTGGTTTATAAACTGGTATTTAATTTAATGATATTTAATGATAATTTATCAAAACGCTTTACTTTAGAACAAAATTTTATTAAGATAAAGTGTGATTCTACACATGTTCTTCAATATTCTGTAATAAACAAGTCAAATTTCCAATTTTTATTTTTTACATGGGAAATGATGGAGGAAACGTATAAACCAGTTTGTCGCACTTATCTTGAAAACCATTATAGATAGGGAAAAACGGTTTTCATATTCGTATTTAGAATTAAATTTCAGATTATATTACCCGTTAAAATTTTCACTTATCAACACTTATGTAATAATTAAAAATGGTTAATAACTTGAAAACTAATTAAGATAGGGCAACCAAACCTGGATTATTGTATACCTGGCATTGTTTTACATCAATGTGGAGAGTTTGAGAAAAATCGGAGTAATGGTTGTACTGATAAGTTTTAAAGTTTCCTCTCATTTTCCAAAATACTGATGTTATCGGAAAACTGACTGGATATCTTTCATCCCCTTGGAAAACTCTATCGATTAGCGTTTTCCATTTTTTTCTAGCATAAAAAAATTTTTTGAGGCCCAAAAAGAGTCAAGTGTAACCTCTTGACTCTTTTTGAGGAGTTTTTGTAAACATTGGAAAATGGAAAAACTAAATCTGCCATTTTATAGACCTTCATCAAGGCATGAAGAAAATGAAGAAAGTTTGTTAATAACTTTATTACTTTCGAAGAAAATCGTGTAAGAAAATGTTGCAGGTACATGATATATTTTATTTTTTTAGATGTTATAATACCTAGGATTTCATACTGAGCATGAAAGTGTTTCCGATTTTTGTTTATCTCTTTTAGTTCACGAGATAATTACCATTTAATCTTCAAAAATTATTGTTGGTGGAGGCGCGTTCGACGGTTTCGACCAGAAAAAATTTTAAGAAATATATCCGACTGTTGTTCGACAGATAATAATTTCATTTAAAAAAGTTTGACCCTGTTCTTCGACTGGTAATAATTTCAATAAAAAAAGTTCGACCCTGTTCTTCGGCCAAAAAAAAATTTAACAAAAAAGTTCGACCCTGTTCTTCGACCGGTAATAATTTCATTAAAAAAAGTTCGACCCTGTTCTTCGACCCAAAAAAAATTTAACAAAAAAGTTTGACCCTGTTCTTCGACCGGTAATAATTTCAATAAAAAAAAATCGACCCTGATCTTCGACCGAAAAAAATTTAACAAAAAAGTTTGACCTTGTTTTTCGACCGGTAATAATTTCATTAAAAAAAGTTCGACCCTGTTCTTCGACCGAAAAAAAATTTAACAAAAAAGTTCGACCCTGTTCTTCGAGCGGTATTAATTTCATTAAAAAAAGTTCGACCCTGTTCTTCGACCGAAAAAAAATTTAACAAAAAAGTTCAACCCTGTTCTTCAACCGGTAATAATTTCATTAAAAAAAGTTCGACTCTGTTCTTCGACCGAAAAAAAATTTTACAAAAAAGTTCGACCCTGTTATTCGACCAAAAAAATTAAATTTTTGGGACAAAAATGGCTATTTTCTAAGTGCTTTTTAGGGCACTTTTGGAAGGGTAAGGAGGTGGGAAACATATGGATCGCATAGAGAGACTCTCGAACTTTAAGATGCCGCTTAAAAACTTCAAAAAAGTTTAATAGTTTTTAAGATACAGGATGTTTTTCACACCATGTTTTCATATTTTTTGAAAAATGCCCATTTTCAAAAGGCGTTTTAGGGTACTTCCAGAAGGGCAGGTTGATTGAACAGGTATGCATCGTATAGAGGTACTCTTGAACTTTAATACGAGGATAAAAAATTTCGAAAAAGTCCATTAGTTCATGAGATACAGAGTGTTTTGCACACCATGTTTCCAATTTTTTTGAAAAATTACAATTTTTAAAAGGCATTTTAGGGCAATTCCGAAAGGGTTAGCAGATTGAAAAGGAATACATTGTGTAGAGGAACTCTTGAACTTTAATACGACGTTGAAAAATTTTAATAAAGTCAATCAGTTCATGAGACACAGAGTGTTTTGCACACCATGTTTCCAATTTCTTTGAAAAAGTACAATTTTTAAAGGGCATTTTAGGGTACTTCCGGAAGGGTTAGCAAATTGAAAAGGAATACATTGTGTATGGAGACTTTCGAACTTTGAAATTGCCGTGACAAATTTTAAAAATTTCAATTAGTTCGCGAGATACAGGGTGTTTTGCGCAACATGTTTATAATTTTTTTTAAAATGTCAATTTTTTAAGAGAGTTTTGGGGCACTTCTAAAAGGGCTAAAAGATTTACATATATACATCGTGGTGAGGAACTCTCGGGCTTTAATATGGCGGTGACAAATTTTAGAAATGTCAATTTGTTTACTAGATACAGGGTGTTTCCTTCACCATACTTACATACTTCAGAAAAAATGGAAGATAAAGACAAAATAATGAAATAGCTCCTATTGCTTTATTGGTTCCTAAAATACAAGATGTTCTCTACAGCAACTTTGGGAAAAATTAAAATTTTGGATATTATTTTATTTGAATATAGAATCTGTAGATTTAAAGAATTAAAAGAATATACATATTGTGGAAGTTGTATTTGTAGAAAAGAGAAGGATGATTCCACTCCTAAAGTTTTAACATTTAGAAATTAAACACAAACATTTAATTCATTAATTTATTTTGGATTTGGCAATACCAGTACAATTATAATCATACTTGAAATAAGTACAGTTACAAATATAACAATGTAATAATAAATAGGCGGTTTCTCTAGTCCTCGCTTTCCAGCATATAGCCGTTCGATAAACAATTTGCGCACAATTCGCGTCCTCATAGCTTATCGTAGTTCATAGTTATTCAATACTTTATAGTTAGCCATTTATCCTAGAACGTTTAGGTAGTAATAATGCACGTTTAAAATTGTTTGAAATTGATGATTGAACAATGTGGATGGAATACGATTGGATCGCTAAATGCAAGGTACATTTATTTACAAGTTGCATCAACTAAATCAAAACCAAATCAATCAGTGCACATTATCGAATAAGTCAGGATCAAGTGCGCTGCAGTGTGATGCACTAGCTGTTGCTTATTCTGAGCGTTGCAAAATCGCAGAATAATGAGCCGAAACAATCGATAAACATCGGTGGGGATTTGCTAATTAACTAATTAATAAATTATAGCGACGCGCGCCAACTACACCAACAGCGCTCGGGTTACCGCTGTTGTCCATGTTTTTTTTTGCGTTACAATTTAACACTTCTATAGTTTATCTTAATGATAGTTAGACTATTTAGACGTTGCGCTAATTTCTGCTTGACTGAGCTGAGCTGCAATGCATTACTGCTTTACGAAACGGTGTTTACTTTGTGCGCGTTTGATAGAAAATCAATCCGTCGCCGAGGGTGGGTGAAAATTAAAACTTTTCTATAATTTCGTGAGTAACTTTCGCCGACCGTTGTGAACGGCAATAAATCACCGGCATTCACGCACGCGTCACCTAATGATCTTCTTTTTTCCGCCGTGGTTGCGAGAAGAACGAGAGTGCAAAAAGCGGTCGTGCGAGCATTCCGGTGAAAAACGCCGCTTTTCACTGTATCAGCGGCGAACTCTGGCTGTCGCTGAAGTCCAGGGTGTAGTACATGTCTGTCGTGTCCAGTGCTGGCAGACTACGACTGGGCGTCGCCATTGGTGCTTTGTCCTTGCCGCTGAACCATTCGCTGGAAAGTAATTAATATTTTATTAGTAACGAAATAAGATCACACAGGAAACAAAGAAAGAAATCGATAATATTTCAATTTCAATCCAGATAATAATATTATTAGTGTTCGTATTCATTCGTGTCGAATATTCTTCGCGTGTAATGTAAAAGTTGGAGGAAATCAAAAAGTTTTTCTATGTTATTGTGCCATGCCCTCCCGCTAACTTTTTCGACTTGCCGATTGTGAGGCAGAAAATAAATACTCGCACTCACTTTGGCGCACTCCTTAATTGCGTTCGCGCGCTTGCGAGAGATTGTTGATAAAGTCCGCAATCGAATCAAAGCCCTCGTCTACGGCGCCGTTCGGCACTCGATCATTGATTGAAAAATGAAAACGGAGCCGAACCGTGCACGCCGAAAAAGGTCGCACGAATGTCTGCGCTACCGATTGTGGAATTGTCTCTTGCAGGCACAGCGCAGCATCCACACTTCGCACTCGCAAAGTGGAGCGGAGAAATTCGAGAAGTTTGTTTGTCGTTTCGAACTTTCGCGAGTGGTTTAAATTTCGAATTGAAAACAACAAAAAATACACCAAACGTCTGATTGCAAAACAAGAACACAACACACATACACAATGTAATTTCACGAGTGGAGAGAATTTAAAAGTTGGTAAACACTCGCTTTGTATTATTCAGAGGAGGAGGACGATTACGCCGACCGATCAACACGTCTCTGGAGGATAGTTTAAATAAATAATTAAAAGCGGGAGCGGCGCGAATGCCCTTAAGCGGAATGCGCTTAGTACACTTTAATCGAGACTTTATTCAAGTTGTTTGTTATCAGCCCGAATGGGCGCCTCTTTAACTTAATTTATTTACGAAGCAAAGCCGCCCTGTTTTCCCACGGCGTTATAAATCATCATTGTAAATTATTCCGCGGTGCAATACTCAATGATCGCAAACAACGCACTCGTATCGTGTAGAACAAGCACAAAAAATATAGAACATCTAGTGCTTTGTGATATGCAGAGTACTTTGTAATTAATTTTCAATTTGGCGAATGATCGAACCGAGATGGCACTTAATTATTGGATTTGCAAATTTAGTTAGGTGCAGGGCGCGTACAGCTCCACCTACATGTATACGTAATTTTCTGCGCGCAGAGACGAAGGATATTAACAGAGGAAGAGAGCGAAATTAATTGGAATCTCAGTAAAATATATATATGCGAATCTAATTAATTAAATTATATACGTATACGCGAGTAAACAGAACTTAATCATGTCAACAATTTCAATTAGTGCTTTGTATGAAAATGAATCAGAAAGGTAAAAAGTTACATGATTAAATATACTGAGATCCAACGTAGAGAACTATTTTCAGATGATATAAAAAAAAGGTTGGAAAACTGGACGTTAGAAGGAAGATTTGCTAGATGTTGAAGGTTCTTGTGTCAAGGTCTGGCCATGACGTTAACAAAGGCTTTAAACATACCTATTGGTAGGTACGACCTCGGGCACTCGTCGTCCGTGCCAACTCGGCCACCACGACGGCTTCGCTCGCATCGCAAAACGTTTGTACGTTTTATTCACTCGACAATGACAAACGGTCACCTAAAAAACGCCAGAATTAGGACAATTTTATTTCTAAAAATAGGCAACCAGTTCAACTTTCAACCCAGATCCCCAGTAGAATTAAGTGGTCTAGTTGGGTCATCAAAACTTCATATTTTAAAAGTACTTTTATATAAATGCAATTTTAAGAAATGATGTTGGATTTACTTTCTAAGAAATTAATTTAAATTACAAGAAACTACTAATTTTTCTTCAACATCTGCTTTTGATGTTCTTATAAAGATATAAGACATGTTTTTTGAAAAGACGACTCGAGCCAAACACAAATTGAAATGACTTTTCTTTTCACTTCCAACTAAACTCTCATACCAAACAAAACGCAGCAAAGTTTGCGCGTATTCAATTACAAACAAACTTTAATCTTTCATTAAGTGCTTGTAAAAAGCCAGAAGTAAGTGTTCCCACCACTTCACTCTGCATATTTGAATAAAATTTCACTTTCGCCCCTTTGTCGTAAATTATATTTACTTACAATTGTTATAACGATGACAATGGCTGTTACTAACGTGCCCATCGCAATGTAAACATTGTGAATTCGGTCGAGACGAATGCCTAGGGGAATCTCCATGTCGTCTGTCTTTGCAAGCACCGTGTCCACGTCGGAAATCTTCTCCACGACGAATTCATCTGCAAATAGCCCCAAAAAGTGTCAGTAACTGACCGAGGAAAAAAGCAATTGCAGTCGTAAAAGTGAACAAACGCCTATTTCCACTGCTCGCGGTCGGATATTTTCACATTATCATTCTTTTACCATCCTCTTACCATTTCCACGCCGTCCACTTCCGTCTATTTCGCCTACTTTCATCCCCATTAGTCTACTTTAATGTTGCACATTACACCTAACGGATTTCTCGCAGCACAAAACGACACAGGCGCCTTGGTTGTTGTTGTTGTTGTAATGTCCGTTCTATTGTTTCCTCGATTCAGTTGTTTCAAGCGTCCTGCCCAATTTTCCCGCAAGCGTGAAGGGTTTCTTGTTGTTTTTTGTATTTCGGAATGGAATTAAATTCGTATTAGTGTCGGTGCGCGTCGTCGAACGTCTAGCCGAATGGTGCTATTTATTATTCGAGGGAAAACTAAAACTCGACCAAGACCTCGTTGCGTCTTACCTTCACAGGTTTTTCCGGTGTAACCAGCCTTGCAGGCACAGTAAAACGAATCGACGCTGCTCCAGCACGTGCCGCCGTTCGCGCAAGGATTCGTGCTGCACGCCTGCGGCAGACAAAACAAGCAAAACTAAATTTCATTAGACAAACTCCCGGCGAAAAACAACGTGAACAAATTTCGCGTCAAATAAAGCTGACGTATAAAAATTACGATATTACAAAACACAATTAATTTATTTTGTAAGCATTCATATTGCACAGCACGGTTTTAATTCTAAAAAATATATAAAATTCGTTAACAGACAAAATTGCAATTTATGCTACGCTTCAAACGATTTCGGCTTTACAGTGATACGAACGCATCGCACTCGTTTGCAATTATTTGCGCCAATCGCCGATACTACATTGAAAAATCATAAAATTTTATGCACCAATAAATACTAAATGTGTCCGTACGTCCGGCGGCGTTGAATGCAACCAATCGTAAATGCATAAAACAAAATGTCACCGAGGACGAAATAAAAACAATATATTTTTAACTAAAAAAAATATTGTGCTTGCAGAATAATATATTAATTAACTTAATTAAAAGTGTAATATATTATTCATATTTTGTTTTCCAGGTTAGTTTGTGAGTTTTAATTAAAAGTTTGCAGATTATCTGCGTGTTTATCTGCTTATTTTTCATCCGAAAAGTTTTTGATTGATTTCGACGCGCGGTGTCGGTAGCGCGCGCAATGAATGTAACACCGTGAGTGGCTTAATCTCAAAGTTAGTAAATACACCTTGTCACTGATTGCACCGCGACGCCTTAAAAAGCAATTTTCTCATTTTTTCCGAGCGCTCGCGCTTGAGCTTAAAATGCGCCCGTGGGTAAATTGCGCTTTTAATGCCGGGCGTCTCGACGCCGCCGTCGGAGTCTCGTCGATAATAAATGAGTTCGCAAATCGGTGCGCGTCGGACGTCTTGGAATTTAACCTTCTTTTTTATTCGCAGCCATAAAAACACAGTTCACGGCGTAATTCAAATTTTTAAATTGATTAACATATTTGAATTACTGCGAATGTTGGTTGTCCGCGAGCGAAAATGATTACTCACCGCTCTCGTCGGCAGGAGGCAGTCCACTCCGGAGAATCCCTTGGGGCATTCGCACGTGTAGTTGTTACCCTTGTCCAAGCAGTATCGTGGTTCAAAGCAGGGGTTCGGCTCGCACAGATCCACCTGTGGGTCAGGTGGAAAACCCTCATTAACCCGAGGAAATCTTTCGCCATTCAACGGCAAAGTATTATTTATATGACTAGGATAATTTTGTTTGCAAAGGTCCAGGGCAAATATGCAGAATATTCCAAACATTGGCGAGTAATTTCTAGTGAATTCCAAACGGTAATTCAACATGGATCTACAGATTTCTCTTAATTGGTTAGTTTACAAACTGTTCAAATACTACTATATAAATATTAGCAATTAAAATTAAAAAAAAATTCTTTTGAAAAATGCAATTTTCATTTAAAACAGAATTTCAGCTCAATTGGCATATACACAAATAGAAATCATTTGAAATCAACCAAAAATGACATAATATAACCTATACTATAGCCTACCTTTATGTGGCAGCGTTTTCCTGTGAAGCCGCGCCCACAACTGCAGGAGTAGCCGCCGACTCTGTCCGTGCACGTGCCGCCGTTGATGCACGGCGACGATTCACACTCGTTGTACTCGTACTCGCAAAGCGACCCTGTATACCCTACGCGAGACAAAGCAAACAAAGCGAACGCTTAAATAATGCATGTCCTTTCATAGTCCTGCATGCATGCCCGCCCCCGCGGTTCACATTCGCATTCATATTCGATATTCCGGTGCCTGCACAATTCGTGCATTTATAATGTACCACGTTATGCAACCAGATGAACAAACAACGTCTAACCAACAACATAACCTAATGTGAAGCTGGTTGCATAAGACCAAACTTTGCATTATTTATTTCACCAAAATACATTTATTCGCCTGGAGAATCAATAAATGTTGAATTAAACTAATGAAACGACGTGGACAAAATGCGCGAGGCTTACAAAGGGAGAAAAGAAGCGTGAAACGCGCGCGGAGGAAAACAAGACCGGTCATTTATTACCGCGTGGAAATCCTTCAATTCCACCCCTTGATACAATGGAAAAGAAGCAACCGCCAACGTGACGAACGTTTACGTCTCGCCACCCTCGCGACACGTTAAATTAAACTATAAAAAATACTCTCTTCACTCTTCGAAAAGGTCACGTTTCCAACGCTTCTTATTCGTCTCTTTGTCAACTCATTAATAGCCACGTTTTTTTCCAGCGAATAAAATTCGTTTACTGCAAATCTGAATCGGAAACTTTTTCATTTTGTTATCATTTTTATTGGCAATCATCGTTGACGATTCCGCTCCGGCATCGGCGTCGAGTGGCAATCGTCAATGGCAAATCGAGTAAAGTTTCGCGCTTGAATTGAACGTTTATTACATATTTCCCGGCGCGTTATTCAATGCAACGCGATTGCTTTGCACATACGTCGCGAGCTGTGAAGATGGAAACGATGCGCATGCTAAATATAGAAACGTAAAAATAAAGGAATCGCGCGCAGAAGCGACAGGATATGCAGGCGCAAAAAATAAAACGCGTTTTATTGCTCGTCGTTACCGATAAATCAAATTTACTCGCAGCTCGCGCGGCGGCGGAGGCGAGATATGTAGATAAATGCGATAAATGTGATTTATATCTTGTTATTTTTTACTCTTTGTGTTTTAACATCCACGGCGGTAATGCGATACAACTTGAGGCATACATTTTAATTTGATAACAAATGATATTATTAAATCTCCATTTATATTCAGTGAAATACTTGAATTTACGTTTTTCACGTCAAACAGTAAGATTGCGGGTAAACGCAGCCGCATGTTTTCAATTAATGCAATCACCTGCAGGCGTATCAAATACGTGCGAGGTATTTGAGTTGACTAATTTTGGCGTGGGCGCACGTTTGCACGTCCGGCACGAGGCGAGAAGCGTTTATTCAATTAGCACTTGCGCTCGAAACTAACCAGCGAGGCGGGCGTTACAAATTTATGACCGGCGCGGATAACTTTGCGGTTTTGCCGGCTTTGGTTCGCTGGCGTTTTGCTGCTATAACCTGATCCTGATGAATTGATATTATTCGCTTGTTTATCCAATTATCAGCCGTATTGTTCGTTTTCCATAGGTACAAAACCATATCGTATATCCGATCGTAGCGCGGTTTACACGCGGCTTATTCATGTTTAAATTGATGAAATATTTAAAATATTAAAAGCAAAATATTTTAAGTTCATATTTTGTGTGAGTACGCAAGGTGCATTAAAAAGTTATAAATTTTCCCGGAGTGGAAAAAGAGAAAATGAACTTAGCACATGTTTACACCGCCCGCGGCTCTTGATAAATGCGAGATTAATGATTTTATGATGCTGGGCGTGGGAAAATTTGTCGCTTTCCAATAGGGACACCCGAGCAAACCGCAAATTTGTAACGCTCGGCTTGCGCGGTGAAGTTTGCCGCCGTTCAAGCACCAATTTCAACATTTTTTCGTTATGTCCGTTTGACCTGACAGCCGCAAACCTGAGTGAAGCAAGATGCACTCCAGTAGATAGAGAGCACTGCGTTCCGGTCATCGCCGGCAAAGCGAAACCATCGACGATTTATTTATCAGCAGATGTGCACCCTCCGGAAGTAAACTTCAAGCTCAATGTATCGTGAAGATAACCGAAATTTAATTTCGTGATAAAATTGAAAACAATTTAGATTTAAAACAAAAAGGATTTATGAGTGCGTTTTTACGGCGTAAGCAGAATGTTCATCTTATCTCGCAAAAGGTTTATTTTTCAGGAGTATATATCAGCTTGACGCTGCATTTCAGGTGTCTTTCTGGCTCGTGCGCGCTTCCTTGATTTACACACGACAGGCTCCAGCGGGCTGGCGCATTTGTGTAAATTTGATTGTCGTGCATTTCGCTGATCTCCGCCCCCCGCTTGTCTGTTGTCTGGCGTCTTGTCTTGTCGCGCGTCGGCGTCGCGGCGTAATCGGATTTACGACAGACGGCGGGCGGGCGAGCGGCGGTGTTATTTAGATGTTCCGCGCGATGTGGCACGTCTCGCGGGCACACGCGGATAGAAAACGTGATAATGCAATTTCGAGTCGGCGCGAACATGATACACACGCATATCCGGCGATAAATAAAAATTGGCAGCGCGCGAGCGTTCGTTTCAAGTTTCGCTGGTTCGTTCAAGCCGTTACGAACACACTGCAGCGATTGCCATCGCGATAGCGACACGTATCCTATCGAAAAAGTTGCGCGGGGAAAAATTCGACGTCGGGCGCATATTTCGATAAGAGCCCCGCGCCACACCGTCGCACGAGTGGCTTAATAGAGACCATCCATTTCAGCCGCTAGCGAAAACTGCTTCTAGCTGCCGTCAGGCACAAGATGCGTCTTATTCGGCTCCCTTTTTGCGAACGTATCTCGTCTTGAGCCGGGCTTGAATTCAACCCGGGAAGCACACACAGAGATAATCTAAATTGCAACAATTTTCCTCTAATGAAATCTTCGATCTGCTTCCACTCGATGGAGCCAAACACGCCGCGCGATAAACAAACGTCTCGATTGCAGGCTTTTCGTTGTGTTTTCGACTAAATGCGATATCGGTTTCGTCGACGATGCGTAAAAATCGTACAGACGCAAGACGGATAAAACAATTCACTTGATTTTATACATTTGCGCACCGGAATAAAATTCTCTCAAACAAATCTTGTTCTTTTTAGCGCTGTCAATATTCCCTGGGCGTGTTTGCGCATTTGTTTGATTTTGAAATTGGCTGAGCGCAAGTCGCAAGATTAATGCAGAAAAGAACGTATCGGAGATGGGAATTAGAGAGCTGGCTACTCACCCGGCTGGCAGAAGCATTTGTAACCATCCTCTTGGGCGACGCAGATGCCATGGACGCACGGCGAGGACTCACACTCGTTGAGGTTGTGCTGACAGTGCGCGCCCGCGAATCCCCTGGGACACTCGCACCGGAACGCTGTCGCATTGCCCGCCGTCGACGTGCAATTGGCCCCGTTCTGGCAGGGCATCGAAGTGCAAGGATCTGTTTCTTCCTCGCAGGTTTTTCCCGTGTAGCCTGAAAATAACATCAAAATACACGAATTATTAACAAGATGCTTTCAAAAACATTATTTTCTAACGAATGGATTTAAAATGCATTACACTTGTTTGCGTCACATCACATGTTACTCTTGGCAAGTAGATTTAAATCTCTCTACTTAACTCGGCGAGTTTCAAAGATTGACACTGTTGGTGCAAATGCAAGCCTGCACTCTTGTTGTTTTCACAAACTTGCAAACTTCGCGCGTTCGTTTGCCGCGCGGCCCCTTAGCGACTCTTCCAGTGAGGTAAGCGAAGGTAACGGTGTTTCACAAGTGTTTGGAAAATTAAATCCTGTGGTGCACAATTTCCTCCGCCGCCCCCGCACCACATCACCCACAACTCGAAGTTGTTAAGTAACTCGCCGGCAACTTTCCGCGCTCCGGCATAAAATTAACCAGAAGCTTGTTGAACTAGAATCGGACCTGTGCATCCCGCGTCTTGTGCATGCGCAACTTTTGTTCGAGCCAATTCGCAATTTTGCAATCTAAAGCCCACCGACACAGAAAAAGCCAGCATCTCATCAACTTTTCCAATATGCCGCCAATAAAGCGGCGCGCCACATCAAAGACAGGCTTTAGGACGGCTAGTTCTTTTATTGTACGGATGGCTGATGGAACTAGACGAGGGCCAAAAGGACCTAATCCTATTTTGCAATGTATCTGATCGAAGAATTGACCGGTGATCCGTTTTCGATTGCACGAGAGCAATTTTACAACCGCGAAGATAATGCTCAACTGCTCAGATGCTCAAAGAAAGAGACGTTTCGGACTGCCGAGACAGTGCAATGAAAGAATTGGTGACCGAACGTAATGGGCCGGAAATGAAAGTCGTGTGCTCGCGCGCGCACTCGCTCCTAAATGACAGCCCAGATAATAATGGCTTTAAATCCCGGCTTATATTTTTCTCGGATCTGTGCGCGCGCGCTCCTCGCTTTCCTACTTCGTTCGCCGGCAATAACCACACGTCACGTTTTAAATTAAAACTCATTGAGGTCAACCTCAAAGAAATGCGAAAAAATAAACACAAACAACAAAATTACACCGCACTAGTCTAGAATGCTAACAATGTATAAATGTTTTAAAAATCTACTTTAAATTACCGTTAAATACACAAGTTGCCAACTTCACTATTCATTAAATTTATTAATCTTACTAAATATAATTCTGTACTGCTGCTGTTGCAACTTTTGCGAGGCACGTTCCAGCGTATCCCCTCACTGCTTGTCTAGTGATTTAGTTGCGAAAAGGACGCGACCCAAGCCGATGTTCGTCCTAATTATCCCGACGCGAACGTGTTCCGCCAAATAATCAGACGCGCGCGCCTGCTTTATTCACCATTTACCGAAAACCTGCCGCCTCGCCAGCCCAATAGGAAAGTTGCCGGCGTTACTCGTTTTACAATCCGAAACATAAACTCGTAAACTCAATAACGCTCGGCAGCGCTCAACAAAGAATAAGAAAACCCACGCCGCACCTGAAAGGCAAACACATTTCCTACACATTTCCACACGATGTTCAAGTGCGTCGCCGCCGGCGTGTACCTAATCTCAAAGTTGGCTAATCCAGCATAATTGTAACGACAAGATTTATATTGAAATAATTGCGCCCGAGAGCTTGGATTTGTGAATATACGTCTAATTCGCATCACGCGCGACGCCGAACGCTTAATAACTTTCGAAGGCGTTGCGTTGGAGTAGAAGTAAAGAGAGGCGCGCTTTTTGGGGCTTGAAAGAAGGAGCAGAAGGAAGAGTTTTGGCGCGGGACGCACGCGTCGCATTCATTTCGGTTAATGCGACCGCCGAGATATGGTATTAGAAGGGATTTTGGACGCCCGCCGCCGCCTCGGCTCATTACGACCGCCGCATTGTTTAAACTAAACAGATTTTGTGTCCCAGCGTCTCTGCCGAGCCGCTTGTAATAATTACGCGTCGATTTGATTACGTTTTGTCAGGGAATTATTACATTTGGCAAATAATCTTGGAACTTTCTTAATTACAACCATCAGATTAATCAGAAAATTTAATTTAGAAACTTTCATCCATATTTACTTACTTAATAAAATGCTATACTAGGTGTATGCTTAGGATGTGTCACGTTTTTATCTCGATGACAGGTTAATTTATGCCACGCATTCGCATCCGTCTTGTGCGTCTGGCGTTCCTGCTGTTCCCACCAGAAGACAAATGATGTGCGTCTGCGATGCAGACATGCGAATGAAAGCGTCGTCCCGCCGCGGGGATGTAAATAAATATAGAAATATGCGCTGCACTGGCAGCAGCGTTTTATTTTTATTTCTCCGACGAATAAAATGTCACCGACAGAATCCAGCGGCGGCTAGTGTGCTACTGGGTCGTCATCGACACGGGGTCGCATCGAGTGCACAACCCCGGGTGCAAACAATGCGAGAGGGTAAATGCCTTTTCTATGAGCAAGCCATCATGCGCGGGTGGGTCAAAGGGGCTGAGGGCGTGAGTGCGCGCCACACCGGCCGGCACTTCGATTAATGACCGCGCCATCAAGCAATTTATCGAGTCGTATACGCTCTTCGACATGTGCCATAAACATAACTAGCGGGACAACAGTCATAGGGTGAAAATATCAAGGGTCACACGATGTGAAATACTAAAATTGAAAATAAAAAAAACAACAAATTTTTAAATTCAAAGACATAACTATGTATCTATATCTATAGATATACGAGTATACCTACAATATGAATGTTTGCTTTGAATATACAATACTGTTTGTACACGCAACACCGACACTTGAGGTAGCGGTTTCCGGTATAATTCGTGTCCCATTGATGTTGGTTGACAAACGTTGCGCAAGTAATCCGCCGCGATGCGGAATCTATCTACTGATTGCGACACTGCATTGCAGCGCGTCTTGTTTGCCGACTCGGCGAGCGCAATTGTGTAATCGTATCGGCGCACATAATACGATTTTCAATCGAGATACATATCTGCGCGGCGTGAATTCGTCATAGCACTCACTCACAACTTCAATTTCGCTCGCGAAAACGTCTTGAGTGCATCAGCGTGCACTCTGCATTTAATACCGGCATCTTACGATCGTCAATTCCTCGCCTTCCACTCGCAGACGCATTTCAAGTTAAAATCCTGAGACATTTCAAGGCAAATCCTTCAATTTTCAAAATTGTCTACTCCGACATCATTATCCTGGATATTTTCCGAGTAAATCTCGTATGTAATCTTTTTCTTCGAGTATAAGTATGTTTACAGATGCTATGCGAGCGTCTTTCTACATTTTTATGTGTAAATCTTCATAAAGTAGATTTTATTATCACAACAACTATTACTTATTACTACCACTTGTTGTTGTCATCAGCAACATCATCTTTCATGCGCTTTATTCTATAAAGTAGCAAGAAGAACAACAAAAAGTCAACATATTGGCGCTCCCAGTGCGAGATGTGAAAGAAGTGAGCGAAGATAATGATGAAAATGAAGATGATGGATGCGTGCATGGGGAAATTAGAAACAGTATACGGCCGCCAACCGAGACAACCGAGACTAGTCGAGAAAAATTGAAGAGCTGAAAGTGTAGCAACTTCTTGACTAGACTAGACTGACTTTCCATCATGAACAAGTCGGAAAAAAAACTAAATGTGCTCAAACACTAACTGCACGAATGACACGCTAGATGCGTAAAGTTCGGATGGGCATATTGTGTCAGCGACGACGACGTCTACGCCAGGGAGTAGTTTGGCGGCGGCGGCGAGCCGGCAAAAACGAAGTTAATGTAGTTTTCCATCGACGCTTGCGAGGCGTTTGACGCCTCCGATGCGGTCTATTTCCGTCTATTTCCATTATGCACTAGATGCGCGCGAGTTAGACAGCCGCCGCCATGATGCACGTTATCGAAGCGGCGATAATGTTTTTCGGTCGTCTTCGCCGCCGCCGCGCTACTTTCGACGTTTTGCAATTTCGCAATTTATCCTCGCAAGCGCGCGGATATGAGCACATTTAATGTGTGAAAAATGTTTACTACACAATTTTATCGGTTATAAAACTGGCAAACTAGTTCACGACAAGTTGGTTATGAACACAACCTTTAAACTATTTTATAATATATCGTTTTTAATTCAGGAATCAAAATTTATTTTTCCGAATGCTGAATTTAGTCCAATTGAGATTTAAATTGTATCCGAGTGTGTTTGTTAATTTATGAGCAAAGCAAGTTAATTAATTATCGCCAAAGAAACGTGAAGCTTTGCAGTGAGGTGTGGCGCGGCAATAAATTATAGATAAATTGCTCCGGCGGTGGCGGCATGTACAACATCGTGCGCACAATGTGGCGTGTCCCGGCGTAACACGCGTCGCTCGGTTGAATCGCAATAATTGTTTATTCTGTAATTCGTCACCGGTTCACACTCGCCCACACCGTGCCCGTGCAAGTCGAGCGAAGAGACACTAATTGTGTAACGGAATTCGATTAGACCCCATACACACGCTCGGCGTCCATATGCGGGCGCGCGAAAGTCCCAGCTCTAATTAATCGCTCGCCAATCAATACGCAATTAGTCCGCGTGTGCACAAACCCGACGCGCGGCGTAGATTGCCTATTGTTAAATGATATATTTTATTTTTGTTTAAAATTTTTGATGTTTTTGTGCCTTGTTGATAGTAAAATTAATAGTTGAAGATCACTTACCGTAGGGACAGAGACACTGGAAGGTCGCACCCTCGTGGCCCTGCGTAATGTCGACGCAGATGCCGTTGTTGCGACAGGGAGACGGGTAGCAGGCGTCCTGTTCCTCGCAGTGTGGGCCAACGAAGCCAGGACAGCATTGGCATTCATAGCCCTCCTGCAAAATAAACAACGATATTGTTGCTGGCCCCTGCGATTGCTAGCTACACCGCTGTTGGCGGCAGCGCCCGTTGTTTGCGCTCCCGAGAAAACCCACCCTCACTCACAAGGCCCAGCTGGATGTAAATGATGCACGCTTCTGCTCGAAGGCGCACGGCGGGCAAAGAGAAAGGCGAAACGAGCCGAAAGACGAAATGGGAAACTTTATGCTTTTGTCCCCTTTCGACTGGGAGCCGGCTCGAATTGGATTATTCACATCTTGCCACTCGCGCTTTGAGAAACTTATCATGCCACCACGAGGAGGAAAATTAGCGGATTTCAAAGGTGCTTGTGCTTTCCAATCAGAAAGTACCTACTATCGAATTGAACATCACAACATTTTGATTGTTAGCCGCTGGCTTTGTGATGTTTTGTCTTTTGTCGTTATTGGCTTTTATTTAGAATTCCGTTTGCCTTTGATTTTTCTCGTTTTCCCATCCGCCACGCTCGCGAGCGTCCTTCGTTGAGGACCATAAAAACCAGTAAAAACCTTCGATTTTGCCCGCGCGCGCGTGTCCCGGTTTCTTTACGTTGCTTTGTTGTTTTTATGGCTTCCTTGTCATTCAAGTGATTCTCCTCGATTCGATATCGAAACGACGTGGGGTTGTTCAGTTGTATTTTCCTCATTTCTGCCATCTCCATTGCTTCACACACTCGAAGCGCACAACTCAAAGAAACTCGACCGCCTGGTCTTCACTCGACGGTGCTAGACTCTAGAACCTAGACGAGACCGCCGCGGGAAGAAAAGAATGTCAACAATCGGTCTCTGGTTTGTACTCGCGGTCAAGCCAAGCAGTGCTCGAAAAGATTTCTCTTCGTCGCGATGAAAAACACGTTATTGTCGCGCAATATTGTGAGACTCTCTCATTTCCTGCTCTTGCGAGGGTGACGATGACACTGCGCCATCGTTTGTCATCCGACGCAATAATCGCAGTATAATAACAAGCAATGCGTAAGAATGATTTCAATTATTTCTAGTAAGTCAGAGTGAATATCGCCATCAATAAATAATTAACGCACGCAAACACACGTCCAGCCAAGAGGGCAAGCGAGACTTGGTTCGTGAATGTTTAAGTGGTTGAGTGGTTCGGAGTGGCTTGGAAACATCTGGCGCAGGGTTTCAAATTAGGTTAGGGCATCGCTTACCATCGAGACGTTCGAGTAGCAAAGTCCTTTGCCGGAGCAGTCCTCATTCTCCCCGCAGTTGTCCGACTTGACAACCACTTTCAAGCGCACGCACTGCTTACCCCACAATTTTGACACCACTGCAAAAAAACATAAAAACACGCAGTTAAAATGATTGGAAAATAATAATTTATCACCAGAGTCAAGCCGGTTTAAATTACTTGGTAAATTTACCAAGTGGATCTTTTCGGATCCCTTGAGCCTATGGTTTATTACGCATAAGCAAGGTGCACGCCGGAAGGTGTAGTAGGTGAATGCGGATCCCGTGAAAGTTAAACACAAACATTCACATCCCTATCATCCCTTTGGTATCGGCCGCTTTCCGACCGCGACACGCCGGAAACGTGCAAATCTAACCAGCGTTCCAACGAGCGGCACACAAACGGTGCGCATCCTTCCCGCACCCGACTTAGGACGATAAGAAATCAGTATTGAGCATTCGTCACACAATCCGGTATTTGTGTTCGCGTAAAATGCATCTTACCAATAAGGAGATTGATGCCCTCGGTGAGATCCTTGTCGTAAAGTGTGACCACTTTGCGGTCGTCGATCTTCAACGGTGTGATGTCCAGCAGGATGCCTTCGGTGACATCACAGTTATCATGACCAGTACGTGTGACTTGATAAACAGCTGTCAGAGGTTGTTGCATCATTCTGCACATAATAATAAAATTTATACCTGTTTGGAGATTAAAATAATATTTATACCCTTCTTGTGGTGTGTTATTAGTGATAACCTCGTGATTTTTCTGCGCTTGTTGGATGAGATGCAAATCATCGATGCGCACCAATAGCACGTCCCCGCTTTGTATCTCAGCGGATCCCTCCCAGGACAATATCGCCGGTAGACAAGTAGAGCGATCGTTTGCGTTCGCACACTCCTCGGGGATCTGCGAAATTAATGAGAGTCGAGTTATTTCGGTGTTATCGTTGGCGGGCGAAAATTATTTCGACCACGGTCGAGTGTCGATGCAATTGTGAGTAAATTACGTTGCAAAATAGTTCGGCTAGCCGCGCGATTCGAATTTGCCGAACGAACGAACGGGATCCTATTTATTTTATCAGCACTCGTTGGCCGCGCCATGCATGCGTTACACAACAAACCCATTCGTCCCAATTGAGCGCGTTCCGGCGGCCGAAATTCGTGCGGATCGGGGTGCAAAGTGAGAAGTGGCGAACACTATTTCAACGTCAATTGGTCATCGGTCATTGCGTTTGCTTTATTACGACGCACGAAACAAAATTCGATTTTTGTACCCACTCGACTGTAATTGGATAATCTGGAATGTTTTATTTTAAAAAAAAATAGGCAATGCTCGGTAATTATTAATTTCAACTTTTTCATTTTCGGAAACAAGCGCGTAAAGTCAAAATTCCCGGCTGGCGAATATCTCGGCCGGAAATTTAAACTTTTTTTTGCGTCGCTGGACTCTTTTAGCTGGGAAAACTTTTAATAGGCGAGGCCGAGGGGCGCGCAGGACACGACAGCGCGCGGCTTTTTTTTTTCATTTGCCGGCCTGTTTCGCATCCGCCGAGTCCTATTGTACAAAAATGGCCGGATTAAAAGTTTGAATCAACTAACGATCCATCCGTTCATGCGACGCCTACAGGTAAAAAATAACTTGACTAATTAGTAATTACATAAAGTTATAACAACTTATAATACTGCGTGATAATTTGTTATAATTTGCGTTTACACTTGCTGCGAAATTGTTATGACGAGTTTCTCTAGGTGAGTAACTGAGCTGTTAGCGTCTGCTGAGGCGGACCAATGCTGTGTTCTTTAACCCTACTCGTACCTCTTGAGGCAGTTAGAAGTTAAGAGTAGTCTGCCGCCCCCGCAGCACACCTAAACCCCTCGGACCTCTGCGTGTGCGCGCGACACTAATGAAAATTGAGTTGTAATTTACAATGTGCCATAACATTAACCGACCGTGCGCTGCCAGACCAGAGATAAAACCCAACGCGAGCGCAAGAACACGCCGAGCAAAGCGTTAGACTGTTAGACATTCAAGAAGTTAAATTTTAATATTTCACATTGCTTAGAACCCGCGTGGAAAGTGTAACCTGACACACAGCGTTGGTGTGTGTTTTGCGCCCGCGCTGAGTATGAGTTGCCATTAGCATCAGGAGATCGCACGAGGATGAGACTTGACAAAAACACGGATTCGCGCGCAAAGGACGCGGAGAGTAAGTGGAGCGCGCGCCCGGCGACGTCAAGAGTGTCATTTGTGAACGACGTGCGCGTGCAGGAAGCGCAAAGACGGATGATAATTAATTCTATTTTTGCCGTGTGGGAAATTAATGACCGCGTCATGTAAATGTCGCGCGCAGATTTCCGGATTTGGCGATTCGTAATTGCAATCACTATCGCTATCGTTCGCCGCCCTCGGTTTAATTTCAATTTCAAGCTCTAGTTCACGCGCTGAGACACCGCGCCAAGCTTCTAGTTAGTAATCAACATTAGACGCGACGCCAGCGTTGATTTGGTCCATCAATTTCGGGATCAATTCCCGGATTTATCATCGTCTTGAATTAAAATGCAAATGAACAAATTCCAGAAGAGAATGATGAGCAAAATATAAATTAAACATACGTAGTGGAAGGTTGAATTTAAATCCGAAATGAAGCGAAAATTTGGTTTTCACGTTCATTATCTGAATGTTAATTGTGTAGTACCGAAGTACTAAAGATGCAATTAGCGAAAAGGTAACATCTGCGGAAATAATGGCGTGTTTTCGGCTGCACAATTTCCCGGCCCTCACATTCGAATCACTGCTGCGCCGCCACACCGCCACACCACGTCGGCAACATTCACTTCTTTATCCCTCGGCTTGTACGAATGTAATGTGTGTGAATGTACACGCCGGCGGGCGGCGTTCGCGTCCTGCGCACGACTGCTTTGAATATACACGCACACGCACGTAGAGACTTAATTGCCGCCGCCGGTAACAGGGGTGTCATGCCAAACCCAGCGGGCCCCCCGAGTTCATTTGTTCGTTAACGTTAACGTTACGCTTTCTTCTCGCAAGCAAAGTCAAACTTTTCGAGGTTCCTTTTAAGGTTTGGCATGTGCGAAAAGCAGCTTTTAAAGACCTTCGGTCCGCAGCCGGTGGCGGCTGGCTCATCTCGACTAATAATTCATCGCATGCGACAGCTCCCATTCTCCGCGATGCACAGCGAAGAATTTCGCCAAGAAATTCACTGTTCAAACACGCGTTTAACTTTAATTCACCGGCGCGCAGATATGAAACACATTTGCGTGCACGCGCCTGCGTCGAAATATAAATTCGCCAACTTTTCAAATATATTACGAGCGGTCGACGCGCCGGCGGTTTTATACAAATTGCGAATTGTAGCAGCGCCTCTACCTCCCTGGCCCCGGGGCCAGTAGAGGAGGGGTTTGGTGAGGAAAATATGCGAGCCACTAACTTTCCCAATATGTCATCTTCTTCCGGGCGGCTTCAAAAGAACCACCGCCGCAAAATATTTAAATTTAAAGAGGCATTTCACCTCGCTAGTAATATAACTAGATAGAAAAGATACTAAAGATATAACGTAATACGTTCGTGGGTGTATTGTGCATTGTGCACGATGCATTTTTGCTTTGCGCCAAAGCCGGAAGGCAAACTTTTATATCCTCATATTCTTCGCATTCCTGCATCCGCGCGCATCCAGTGGATTTGTATATTTCCACATGGCCTAATGCGCTTTGCGAGACATTCCGCCGCCCGCGCTGCCGCCACTGGGTCACTTCTTGTCGAACTCTACACCGCCTCCCACTCTAGACGGAATTCAACTCTCGGCGTAACTTTTGCAGTCATGTGTCTGTTCGTGTCCGGTTCGCGTGTATGAGTATCTTATCGAGCGACAAACTTTGCTGCTTCTTTCTCTTCGCGTCGCGCCGCATATTTATATTCTTCCAAACTCGCTTTTTAACGATATAGCCGAGAATTGTGGACCCAGCGAAAAGTAGAAACCATGCCGCGGGATGTGCGCGCAAATGTTCCCCGAAACTTTGCTCTTGGACTTTTTGTGTGGAGAAAATAAAGAAAAATTATGTCGCAGCTGGCACAGTTTCAGCTTTTCCACATTAGGACGAAGAAGGGTCATGCTTTGATTTATGCGTCAATCGATTTGATAATAATTGATTACAAATTCACGAGAGAAAAAAATCGCTTGTCAGATAAGAAAAAAAATTGACTCAACAAATCCGAAAAGTTAAATATTTTCCAAGCACACACAAAAAATCCAATTATTTTCGCTTTTGTATCTTAATCGTAACTAAGTGAAGACGTAAAATTGAAAGCCTCAGCGAATATCTGCCGAGAGCGCGCAGCAAAGAGCAATCAGTTAATAAATAAACGATTTATGGCCTGTCGGGGGGCAGTACGACGAGCTAACGCTAATAAAATCTACTTATCCCGTGCGCCGCGGCGCGCACAGAAAAATGTCATGAATATAAAATCGCGGAGGCAAATCTTTTCATTTGCATCGGAAAGCCTTGCCCCCATCATGCACGCGTTCGTCGGGTAGTGGTAGTGGTGGTGGGCGAGATTGCCTGCCGAGGAATTTATACGCGCTTATTACGATAAATTCCGGCGAGCGATCTCCCCGGCTTGGATTTTTCCGCTCGTCGCCGGCTGGTTGCCAGTCTCACCACAGCATTTTTACCAAAAATTCCAAGGAATTGGGTCAAGCACACATACAAAGTCCAGCAACATTTTTTTCCGGTCATCAAATCAAACCATATTCGATTTGCAATTATTTCTGAATATGATCCGCCGAAATTCCATTAAAAAACGATTTATAACCTTGTTAATCCAGTCGGTAAGTGCGTCAAAAGAAAAAGCCGATGCATAATGGAAGCGTATAATTAGTTTTGGCTTTATGGCGTCACCGTCAGAGAATTTCATTTACTACAGCACTACTAAAAGTGCTTATGTGAGAATTTCAAAGAAAACTTTTAACGAGTTTTAGCCAGCAGAGAAAAAAATAATAATAACCATCTAGTAAATACGTTAAGAGTCCAAAATAGATTAGCGCAGCACACAAATATTACTTAAACCGAGATAAAATCAACGTTTTTGTGTCGCCGGCATCAATTTTGCACGCGCCATTAGTTCGTGTTTGCTACTTTGCCCGGCGCCTCCACCACGCTTCGCACTCGACCGCAGCCGGGAATGTTTTCATGACAGTCACAAAAAAATACTCGACGTTATCAACGCACACACATATTTATGCTATGTGTGTGTGTGTGTGTGTGTGTGTGTGTGTGTATGTGTGAGAGTAAATGTAACATATTGATTTTATCTCTCGTCCGGAATATGCTGCCGCCTAATTATTGTGTTACAGTGCAACTCGAGCCAATTTGCGCCCTTCCACTCGAATCAGAAGCGATTAGCGTCGCTGGCGAATGGAACGCATGAAATCGAAGAGGCGCTTCTTACTTGTTTATCTAATAGTTTGCATATTAGCTCCGACAGCGTGCGCGTTAACTTTCGAGCGTGCGGCTGGTTAGCGATGCGATTATGTGCGCGTTGGATGATGGGGACGGAAGCGTCGAAAAGCGTGGCAGAATGCCGGTGTATTAGTGTCGTACGGTTGCCGTGCTGCTGCCAGCAGCCAATTGCCAGCCTCAGCCGCCTCCGACGCGCGATTTAACTAAATTACACCACCTTTAGTCATGCGATTACTCTCGGGATTCTTTTTGAATAAGGTCTAATTCGGTAACAAATGCAACGACACCGAAAGACAAAAAATCCGCTAAAAAGTTTTCGCTGTAGCCAAAAAGTGAATTTACATGCTCAGAAATATAAAAAAATTGCGTGAAACCCTCGGACGAAAATTTTACTTAAATATTCTTGTCTATTTAAAATTCTAAACCGGT